AAGTTGGGAGTTTGATTCCCTGCAGTGATTCCTGAGAGTAGAGCGTAGCCTTGGGCTACAGTCCCAGGGCACCCCCAGAAGAAGCTAACAGCAAACCACTTCTAAGTATTCTCTATCTGGAAAACCCTACAAAGGGTCACCATCAGTCAGAATTGACTTGACAGCATACAATTATTATTAATTCCTTTTTCAATTAGCTATTTAAGCTCTGAGAAGGGACCACCAAAATCCTGCCCAACTGAGATATGAGGCATGTTCTTGCAAATGCGATGGGCTGCTAGTCCAGTTTGCTTGTAGGCCTACTGCATATAATTGAAAAGGCAGTGGGGTCCTGCTGGTTCGAGTTGCCCCTACCTGATCTGAACAAGCCAAATCCTCATATGCATTTGTACTAGATGACTAAAGCATTTTGATTCCATTTTAATTGCTATGGTTTCAGTCTATGGGATTCTGGAATCTGCAGTTTGATGAAGGACTGAACATCATCTGCTCTAGTTTGAGGTGCGCACTAGAGGTCTCTAGCAGAGAAGTGCAAGCACAGCATCTAATTACAAATCCGAGGATCTTACTGGATTGAGCCACGGCGGTAAAAGCAAAAATCAGATTGCTATAACTAGGCCGTGACGATCAATCTAAAGCTGTGATTTGATTTTGGAAAGATAGATCTTTCCTTCGATGTAAAGGTAAGGCAGGAAAAAATGTGAATTTCTTTTGGTGGAGAATAGGAGGAGCTGGGTTATGCCAGATCCGAAAAACCCTCACAGCCGTGATGGCCGCAGAAAGGTAGGCCTGGGTTCAGAAGAGTTCTAAGTAATTTCATCATCCTTAAACCAGGATAGGTGTGGATTCATCACACCCTCAGATGACAAAGTGTCAACTCAGCCAACCCTTTGCCATCTTAGCCAGTTGGGATTTCACCCTTAGTTAGCAGCGGATCTCTCAAGGGGCTAGAACTAATAGAACAAGCTAGAACAAACTAAGGATTGTTTCCAACTCAGGATCATAGGATACAGATTAATAAGAATTTAAGTGCTAAAACATCCCAAGCATTCAAGCTTGCTTTGTAAGTTTAAACTACGCTGGTAACTCTCAAGGAACTCCTTTGTATTTGTTTAATTTTTTAAAAAAGAAATTGCTTAATGTCACTCATTTAATCTAATTTCTTTGGGTTTGTTTAGGTTTTGATAGTGTTTCATTAATTACTGTATTTTAAATTTTATCGGTTGAGCTGCTTTTTGAATACTTAAACATTTTACTGTGGTAAAAACAAGAAACATGTGCTAAAAGCTTAGCAACCAGCAGACGTTAGCTGGCTCACCAGGAATTGTCCCAGACCTTTTTTTGACTCCTCCTGAATTTGCTGGAGGCATCAGCCTTTCCACCTCAGAAAACAATTTAGCCATCCATCACCTGCAATGCAGAGCCCGTCTTCATCCCCTGTACGTACTATCAGGGCTGTCACTGCCAATGCTTTGCCTCAGGGCACCCATACCTAGAAGTAAATCTACTGGTGTTATTAAAAAAACAAGTACTGTAGTTAATACCTCCTGGTTCTATTCACTTCCCTTTTCCTTTTTTTTCCTTCTGAAAGCATAAACATTCTCTTTTTTTTTTCTCCCAGTGAGGAATATTCCTTGGGAAAAAATGTTGATGCTTTCTGCCTCCTTTTTGGGGGTGAAGGGGCGGGGCTTATTGGTCCATGCGTCAAAGTGGATTGGATGGAAGACCATGCCACTCGCCCCATGTGCAAAATTGCTAACTGTGGCTATGTGTACTATTTCCAGCTTCATTGCACTATTTTATTTATTTATTTATTTATTTAATTTATATGCCGCCCACTCTACCCAGAGGTCTCTAGCTTGACCCTTCCCTAGCTTGACCCTTCGTCTATGGGTCTCCTCTTCTCTCTGCCCAGAACACTCTCTGGTGGATCTTGATATATAAGGTGAAAACCAGTACTAACTTTTAGGACTGCGAATCTGGACCTTTTTTACTGGTTAGACCTCAATGCTCCTCCTGTTTAGAAAAAGAAATTAAATAAAAGGAGATGGAGCATCAGAAGTGCAGTTTATAAAGAGCAGCATGTGTATCACTAAGGCCTATTGCAAAATATCAAACTTAATCCTTTTTCTCCTGTTCTTTCTCCTCTTTTTACATTTTTTAAAAAGGAAAATATATATCAGATCACACGCTTCCACATTATGATAAACTGCAATACCAACTCCCTTTAATTAGACCATGAATATGGTCTAATTATAGCAATTCTGCTGGGCTGATCAACATTTGAAAGGAAAACCAGGAACACTCAACAGATTGAAATATATATATATATATAAAACAGAATTGTGCTTAATGAGATAATTAGGCCTGTTCCAGACTTTGAAAGCCAAGTTAGGGTTTTTTTGTCATCGAAACAGGCATATTTACTGGAAAGGTAGAGTGAAGTGCTTGGTCTCGTATTAATTGGAATACATCTTGATGGTGTAAGTAGGATGAAGAAAAGAAAATGTATGTTTGTATTCAATTTATATTTAATGGTTCAGTTAAGTGCTGCTAGTAATTTGTATGATGCATAATAACAAATCATTATCAAAAGTATTTGAACTTTTTCTTTCTTGCCTAAGAAGCTAAGAAGGCATTTTGTCCTTAAGCACAGGGCTGGTTGAGACTTAACCCTAAAGCATAATTTATTGGGAAGCCAACAGTAAATGGGCTTTTCCTCCTCGTGGTGCAGTGGTTAAACCGCTGTACTGCAGCCGAAACTGTGCTCACAACCTGGGGTTCAATCCCAGGTAGCGGCTCAAGGTTGACTCAGCCTTCTGTCCTTCCGAGGTCGGTAAAATGAGTACCCAGCTTGCTGGGAGGGGGGCAATGTGTAGCCTGCATAATTAAATTGTAAACCACCCAGAGAATGCTTGAAGCGCTATGGGGCGGTATATAAGCAGCACACTTTGCTTTGCTTTTGCTTTTGCTTTGCTCCACTTTCTATTTTGGTGCAGCCACAAGAAGAAGTTTGGAAGGACATATAACTGTCTGCTGTATCATCCATATCTGCGCATAATATGATTAATCGTAGCTACCGTTATTGCAAACAAGTCAATGTCAAATCATAGTTTGTGAAGCTGATTTGCTTTTGTACCACTCTCTATGTCCTAAACTCATGTATGTATGTATGTATGTATGTATGTATGTATGTATGTATGTATGTATGTATGTATGTATGTATGTATGTATGTATGTATGTACGTACGTACGTACGTATGTATGTATGTATGTATGTATGTATGTATGTATGTATGTATGTATGTATGTATGTATGTATGTATGTATGTATGTATGTATCCTCTAAATTTCACACTTCAAGTCAGGAGTCGCATGAAGAAAAGGCGCCTAAAATGTCTTTGCTCCTGGAGCAGAAAAGGGTAATGCTAGTTTTTTTGGCCTTAAAACTCTCAGAATCCCCCAATCAGCATGGCCAGGATCTGTTTTGAGCTGGAAAGAGAAAAACTGTTCTGCTCAACATATGAAGCCATCTTAGGCAATGCACAGCAGAAAGAACCAGCCGGGGATTATTAAGGGAGTGGATTCTGGAAGCTGTAGTTGTTCCCCCAAAGGCAATTTTTCAAACTCTGAGTCTGTTCAGAGCTACTCAGCTTGAACTCAGCCCCTTGTCTGGGAAAAATTTGGCTTTTCAGATTCCTTCCTTCCTTCCTCCCTCCCTCCCTCCCTCCCTCCCTCTGATTGATTGATTGGGTTTGGTTTGGTTTGGTTTGTAGAAGGCCCATCTAACTCAATGGTTACTCTGGGCGGTTAACGTGAATAATAAGAGCGTAACAAAACATTACAAGATCAGTGCCAACACAAAATAAATAACAAATTGAATTAAATCATAAAGCAATTAAGACATTTAGAACATACAAACTGTTATTATGAGAATTAAAGAAGGCTCCAATGAAAGAAAAGGCTACTGCACTCAGGTCTTAATTTGGCACCTTCTGAAAGGCCTGACAAAACAAGAATGTTTCTAAGGGCTTTTGAAAGACTTCAGGGAGGGGGCAGGGCAGATTTCAGGTGGTAAATCATTCGAAAGGCAAGGTGTGACTGCAGAGAAGTGCCGTTTCCTGCTTCTCTCTTTCTGAGCCTCCCTTTGGGTTGTTCTGGACAATAATACCCATAAATCCATCTCCCGGCCATCCCAGCAGGGCCTTCCGGGCCATGGTCTAGCCTAGGAATGCCGTCTCCTGCAAGTGTCAATAGCCGAACTCGAATTGCTTCTGGGGTGAAAATGGGGAACATCTGCATGCCAAGCAGGCGCTCCTTGGCGCCACTCATCCGCATCCTGGTGGCCACCGCCAGGGCCTGAATGCTACTTTTCCAGAGGTTCCTGGGTGGTGATTTGTATTTAGCACACAGGTCCCTCCATACTAACTGACAGGTGCCGCTTACATTTAATAACAGCACAGGACTTACAAGTCTCATTGTGTGTTCAGGGAGTTCCTGGGCTGACAGCAGAGGAATGCAAGTCATGAGCAGCCAGGTGAATTTACAATATCTGCCACATTTAATTTGCACTGAAGTCCTAAGCGAGGTGTCTGCCTTATTTATGCATGTTAGCATACCCCTTATTTACAAAAAGAACACTAAGTGCTTATTTGCATTTTTGCCAAAGACTTAAAACCGCTGCCCCTCCTCTGTGGACTAAAACTTCAGAGACTGCCATCCTTTTTTATTTTTATTTTTTAATGGGAAGCTTGCAAGTGGCTCCTGGACATTTGTTTTTCAGTATGGTATTTGCTCGATCCTTTTAAGCATTTGTGTACTCGCCGTTGTTAGCTTTAATATGGTCTTTTAATGCTGTAAGCCGCTTTTGGATACCTTTAAGGAGAAAGGCATGGTAAAAATATTTTAAATAAATAAAATGCATGCATACATTTCTGTTTGCTTGAAGCCATTGTCCACAAACACATGATACCAAGAAACAGCACCCGGAGGCATCATACCTTGGTTGCAAAGGAGGCCAAAAAACCCAGGCAGGCAGTCACAGTGTCCCGTGATGTGGTGACAGGGGACAGTGCTATGGATGCACTGCGGGCAGGACTGGCTGCAGTGGTGCCCATAGAAGCCAGGCGGGCAGACTGGAACAGAGAATAAAGGCAAGGATGAAAAACAACACAGAAAGATAAACCAAGACTCTAGTTCTTAAATGCTACAACAGTAGGACTCCTGCATCCCTGGGATCTGTAGCTGCTCATTCACTTATCCATGGTCTGAAAAATAATAATTTTTAAAAAATAAATCCTGGAAATATATATGTCTAATGATGAAGTTAACAGAGCTGGCCATTAAACAGAACTAGAGACCATGCTATGTATGGAAACTATTGTAAGCCCTCTGAGGAAAGGCTGAAAGAACCGGGCATATTTAGCCTTGAGAAAAGACAGAGGGTTGATAGGATAACACTTTTCAAATACATGAAAGGCTGTCATACAGAAGAGGGTCAGGATCCGTTCTCTATCATCCCAGAGAACAGGGCACGCAACAATGGGCTCAAAGTTACAGGAAGCCGGATTTTGGTTGAATATATCATCCCAGAGAACAGGACACGCAACAATGGGCTCAAGTTACAGGAAGCCGGATTTTGGTTGAATATCAGGGAAAATCTTCCTAACTGTTAGAGCACTAAGATAGTGCTCTCAATTACTTCGAGAGATGGTGAGTGCTCCAACACTGGAGGCATTCAAGAGAAACTTAGACAACCACCTGGCAGATATCCTTTGTTATGTATCCCTGCATTAAGCAGGGGGTTAGACTCAGTGGCTCACTGAGCAAGGGGTTAGACTCAGTGGCCGTATAGACCCCTTCCAACTTCACAATTCTATGATTCTATGTGTAGCGTTTGCTAGAGAAATGTATTTCCAAGATGTCATTACCAGAACTGGCTACTAGAGAGAGACAGAGGCCATGGTAAGTACGGAATTCACTCTTATAGTCATGTTTCTTATAATCTGCATTTTCAGCATCTTTGGGAGGGCTTGGAACTTATCCCTCGTGGATACAGCAGTCCACTGCTATTTATAGCTATATTTGTCTTCTATAATTGCAGCATTTTACACTTTTCAACTCACAGCTGCCTTGGGTGTTGGATCATTAGGTAAGATCAGTAAGAAAATGTGTTGGATTTGCCCCAGGCCATCAACGGAGTCCGTGTTGAAGCAGACTTGAGCCCAAGTTGCCTATGCCACTTCTCTGCATTCCTGTGCAAACGTCCAACGTTCTGAAGATCCAGAATTCACAAGGACAATCAAAGCCCATTTGCCTCCCCCTGCAAATCAAAAGTCTGTGGCCTGGAGTGCAGCCAGTTATTTTTTTTTTCCGCCACAGTAGGGGAAATTTTTACCTAAATTCACAGTATCAAAGAATTGTAGAGCTGGGAGGGACCCCAAGGGTCACCGAGCCCAAACTTTGTCAAAACAGGACACCCACATGTAAAGCATCCGACAGGCGAGCCATGCAACCTCTGCTTGATTTTTGCTAGCTTGTTACAGTTTCTCCACCACTGACTTCTTGGGGGCATGTGATTGCTTACCGTTAATTAAGATGGGAGGCTGGCAAGCAGCCACCCAGCAAGCCCCTAATTGCTTAAGACCCATCTCTGTCCCTCTCCCAGCATGCTCGTCTGTTCAGGGGCGCATGGTGTGCAAGACACAGGTGCACAGTCAGCAACAAATCTTGTGTCTGCCCTCACAATGAGGGGGTGTGGAAGATAAAAAGTTCAGTACTGGGAGGGATCTGATAATGAGGGACTCTTAGGGGACATGTGAAATTCATGGCACAATTAGGCCGCCTGTCAGGGAGACGGCAAGCGAACCTCCCTTTCTTCCACAACTCTAGCAGGTCACCTGGAGCTGCACAGGATGATGACATACAGAACATGAAAGTGCTAGCATGCCCTTTGGCCTGAGCACCATCTGCGGATAGAAGCAAAAAGGGGCACGTTCCTCCTCTTGCTGCAGAAGCTTACATTTTCATCTCTCACATTCCAAACCCTTGGGATTTGAAGTCGGTAAAAAAGGATTTCTCCCTGGCCTTCCCAACTCTCTGACAGCCCCTTCTGCCGTTGGGAGAGGAGTTTTTGCAGGCACAAGAGAAATGTTGTTCGCAGCACAGGAAACGGGAGGAAATGTTCATGGAAATGTTGAAAGGCCATGAAGAAGAGCCGCAGGGGGCGGAGGTCAAGGCTGCAACAGCTTTAAACAACCACCGTTTTAAAAGAAGCAGGTGCAAATCATTTTGGAAGGAGGAGTATGGGCCAGAGGGGAGTGTGGTTTGAGGAAATCAAGTGGGAAAGGGAAAGTGAGTAAGAACATTTTGCTGAGCTGCTGGATAGCTCGGTGGTTTGGGCCTCTGGCTGTGGAGCCAGAGGTTGGGATTCTGCGTCCCCAAGGGTGCCTCCCTGGCAGGGGCTGCTCCATAGGAGCGCTTCCAGCTCTACAGTTCTAAGATGATCAACAGCAAAAAATCATGCGCCGTGTCGAGGACACGGGTGCAGAAGCGGGTGCAAATCATTTTGGAAGGAGGAGTATGGGCCAGAGGGGAGTATGGTTTGAGGAAATCAAGTGGGAAATGCGCCGTGTCGAGGACACGGGTGCATATAAGAGGAGCCTGATGTGCACAAATCAGGGTTAATTTAAGAGCCCTGTGCGTCCCCAAGGGTGCCTCCCTGGCAGGGGCTGCTCCATAGGAGCGCTTCCAGCTCTACAGTTCTAAGATGATCAACAGCAAAAAATCATGCGCCGTGTCGAGGACACGGGTGCCTATAAAAGGAGCCTGATGGGCACAAATCAGGGTTAATTTAAGAGCCCTGTTTTCATGTCTCCTCCACACAGCTGCAAGGGGCCACACGTCTTGTTTTAGAGAGAAGAGCCCGCTACAAAAACGCTGCAAGGAACAATCCTTTTTCAAGGTCTTCTCCATTTGGAGAAGACTTGTCCAGCTCAAGTATAATTTCGTGAAAAGGACCACAGAAGGAAGGAGACCACGGACTCTGGAGTTGCCCCTCCAGACCGGACTCCTCCTCCCCACTCAGCTAAACGGGATTGCAGTCCTGCTTAAATGATATTGATGCATCATTTCTAATTTTGCAACTAGGACATGCCACATTACGCAGATTGGGTTTTTCCCTTTTTTGTTGATGTTCATGGGACCAGCCTGAGCAATAATCCTGTGGCGGGAGAAAGGAGGGTTGTGCCTACCATCCCAGATCCCCCATCCATGCACCACAGGCATCCAGGTAAAGGGCAGCCTCTTGTGTGAAGGCAGCTTCACGTTTCCCAGCTGTGGAAGAGCGCTGCATGCGAGCAGAGCTCCCTTTACAGGTGCCCCCTCTGATGCACACACAAGCAGCCAGCTGGGACTCAATGGCAAGGGCCAGGCCAGGCCAGGCGCCCTTCTGTCCTTCCACAGTATTATGTTTCTGCAAAGAAATCTCTGAATAGGGATAATGAGGACCGTACCATTTCAGAAGAGGGAGGAGAAATCAATGACACAGAAAGACCATCCTTATCACGGCATTGGCACAGGCCAATCTGAACAGAGTTGGTGGCAAACTCTCAAATATATTTCCCTTTTCCCAGCACTGTGTTTAGACAAGGGGTGTTTTTCTCTGGCCCACTGAGCCAAGAAGCAGAGAGAAAGGACAGCTCAGAAATGTGATGTCTCGGGATGACAGCTTTCCAGCACTCTGCCATGTGGCTGATTGGGAGATAATTGTAGAAAAGCACAATTTCCAAAATCAGGGCTGAACCACACTTTGGCGAAGCTCTTATCCAGCTGTGCCTGAAACTCCGGCTGCCTGGACCTTCTTGCCTTAGGAGTATCAGCCACACACATTTCTCTGGAGGCTTTATTCACAAAGGCGCTTTCCATGGAATTCTTCGGTAAGAAACAAGACTGGGAAGAAACAGGGAGTTTGGGTAAAATATGGCAGATGGGGCCAGGGAGAGAGTTGGCATGAAGTTCCAGGAAGGAAAGCATGCGGTCCCCCCCCACCCCTCATCTCTGCATTTTGCCAGAGCTGAATCATGCCCTGAACAAAGGCCTCTTCAAGTATTTCAGCACGGGGCCACCCCCTGCCTCCACACAAAGTTGTTCTTCTCTCCTCACAGGGAGGAGGACAAAAGAAGAGGGTCTCCTCTATGTCTGCCCTTGAGGCTGGATAGGCTCAATAGTTTAGGTCTCTAGCTGGGCAGCCGGAGGTTGGAAGTTCAATTCCCCACTAGGCCTCCCTGACAGGGTCTGGACTTAATGATCCGGAGGGTCCCTTCCAGCTCTGTAGTTCTAAGATGATGATGCAAAATGCTACATAGCTTGTAAACGGTACGTGGCCTGGTAGATGCAAGGGGCCACACATCCTGTTTTAGAGAGAAGAGCCCGCTACAAAAACGCTGCAAGGAACAATCCTTTTTCAAGGTCTTCTCCATTTGGAGAAGACTTGTCCAGCTCAAGTATAATTTCGTGAAAAGGACCACAGAAGGAAGGAGACCACGGACTCTGGAGTTGCCCCTCCAGACCGGACTCCTCCTCCCCACTCAGCTAAACGGGATTGCAGTCCTGCTTAAATGATATTGATGCATCATTTCTAATTTTGCAACTAGGACATGCCACATTACGCAGATTGGGTTTTTCCCTTTTTTGTTGATGTTCATGGGACCAGCCTGAGCAATAATCCTGTGGAGGGAGAAAGGAGGGTTGTGCCTACCATCCCAGATCCCCCATCCATGCACCACAGGCATCCAGGTAAAGGGCAGCCTCTTGTGTGAAGGCAGCTTCACGTTTCCCAGCTGTGGAAGAGCGCTGCATGCGAGCAGAGCTCCCTTTACAGGTGCCCTCTCTGATGCACACACAAGCAGCCAGCTGGGACTCAGTGGCAAGGGCCAGGCCAGGCCAGGCGCCCTTCTGTCCTTCCACAGTATTATGTTTCTGCAAAGAAATCTCTGAATAGGGATAATGAGGATCGTACCATTTCAGAAGAGGGAGGAGAAATCAATGACACAGAAAGACCATCCTTATCACGGCATTGGCACAGGCCAATCTGAACAGAGTTGGTGGCAAACTCTCAAATATATTTCCCTTTTCCCAGCACTGTGTTTAGACAAGGGGTGTTTTTCTCTGGCCCACTGAGCCAAGAAGCAGAGAGAAAGGACAGCTCAGAAATGTGATGTCTCGGGATGACAGCTTTCCAGCACTCTGCCATGTGGCTGATTGGGAGATAATTGTAGAAAAGCACAATTTCCAAAATCAGGGCTGAACCACACTTTGGCGAAGCTCTTATCCAGCTGTGCCTGAAACTCCGGCTGCCTGGACCTTCTTGCCTTGCGAGTATCAGCCACACACACTTCTCTGGAGGCTTTATTCACAAGGGCGCTTTCCATGGAATTCTTCAGTAAGAAACAAGACTGGGAAGAAACAGGGAGTTTGGGTAAAAATACGGCAGATGGGGCCAGGGAGAGAGTTGGCATGAAGTTCCAGGAAGGAAAGCATGCGGTCCTTACTTCTCTGGCACATGGGTCCTCGGTAGCCTGGTGCACACTCGCAGGTCCCATCCTCTGGGGAGCAGGATCCTCCATTTTCACAGTTGCAGGCGATGGAGCAGTTTGGCCCCCAGCGACCCTGCGCACAAACACTGTCACAGTGGATGCCTGGAGGAAAACAGGTACATTAAGGAATGCCACAGGATGGAAGGAAGGGAAGGAGGGAGGGAGGAGGGAGAGAAGGAAGGAAGGTAGGCCTCCCTGACAGGGTCTGGACTTAATGATCCGGAGGGTCCCTTCCAGCTCTGTAGTTCTAAGATGATGATGCAAAATGCTACATAGCTTGTAAACGGTACGTGGCCTGGTAGATCACAAGCTCTGATGGCCACTTAGGCATCCTCCCCAATAAGACTTACAAGCTCATAGGCCAGTGATTCCCAAACTTTTTTTGACTCATGCCTCCCTTAAGTTACTGGCCACGGTCGCAGCTTCCCAGATACAACACTTTATTTATTTTTATTTTATTTATTTATGCTACATAGCTTGTAAACGGTACGTGGCCTGGTAGATCACAAGCTCTGATGGCCACTTAGGCATCCTCCCCAATAAGACTTACAAGCTCATAGGCCAGTGATTCCCAAACTTTTTTTGACTCATGCCTCCCTTAAGTTACTGGCCACGGTCGCAGCTTCCCAGATACAACACTTTATTTATTTTTATTTTATTTATTTATTTAACTTATAAGCCCTTGCAATGTTTTCTGTTTTGTATCCCAGGCACAATTTATGCTCACGTTGAACAGTTGTTGAAAATGACAATCATAATAAACAGTTCTTGGAAGTCCTCAGAGCCTTTTCATTTGCAATCTTTGCACCCCTGAAGACTGCCTGGGTGGCTATGGCATTTTGGGAATTGTAGTTTCTCATTGCTGCTTATACAAGGGGGGAAAAAGATCAGCTTCCTGCTCTGACTAGCTAACTACCTGGCCTCAAGCGAGAAGATACAGGTCACTCAGTTCCGCTGTGTTTTTAAAACTCCATCATTGCTTAATGCGTGATAAGACAAAGGCCACTGCATTCTGAAGACAGCAGTTTGGCTAGGAAAAGTCCTCTGTCACCTTGTACACCCTTCAACTGTAGATGGCTTGGACTACAACTCTCATCATCCCTGGCCAATGTAGAGTGATAGGAGTTGTAGTTGAAAACATCTGGAATCTGCCAGGTTGTTACTACTATGACTGCTGCTACTACAAGTGGGGTTTCAATAACCAACAGGAACAAAAAGGGACTCTCCTCGTCCTCGCAGGAGGGTTCGTGTTTAGAGTTCCAGGTAGCCAATCAACATCCGAAGGTATTTTAAGAGATAAAGGCCAGAATCCTACTGGTGACTAATGCCTGCGTAAGGGTGATCATTTACACCTTGGTGGCAGATTGCCACTCATTGACAAGAGGCCGGTGGCATCCCAGGGTGATCTTAGGCATGTGCCCAGGAATGCCCCTGGCGGCTTATTCGTGAGCTGCCATTTGCCATCAAGACATCAACGATTTCCCTTACACAAGGTTAAATCTCCTATAGGAATTGGAGAGTCCATTCAGGACAGCCTACCTCACATCTACGGTTCCTCCTTCCCCTTTTCTAGCTGACCCTGGGTACTTTCTGGAGGTGAAGACTGAACCCCCTTAAAATTTTGAACTTTAGCTCAGCCTGTACAAACCTCGGGATCTCCTCAAACGGTGGAGTCCCTCCCGCTTGCGTCTCAGCTGCCCTATTTGACTCCATTTCTATTAGCATCACCAACCACCCAAGTTGACTAATGGAGGGAGTGATTCTTTTTTTTTATCTTTATTTATGTATTATGAAGTATTTATATGACACGGCTTGACACAGAAGTGGGAGTTGTAATAAAAAAAACAACCACCTCTTCCCCTCCCCCCACCCCTCCTCTCTGCATTTTCCCACAGCTGAATCATGCCCTGAACAAAGGCCTCTTCAAGTATTTCAGCACGGGGCCACCCCCTGCCTCCACACAAAGTTGTTCTTCTCTCCTCACAGGGAGGAGGACAAAAGAAGAGGGTCTCCTCTATGTCTGCCCTTGAGGCTGGATAGGCTCAATAGTTTAGGTCTCTAGCTGGGCAGCCGGAGGTTGGAAGTTCAATTCCCCACTAGGCCTCCCTGACAGGGTCTGGACTTAATGATCCGGAGGGTCCCTTCCAGCTCTGTAGTTCTAAGATGATGATGCAAAATGCTACATAGCTTGTAAACGGTACGTGGCCTGGTAGATCACAAGCTCTGATGGCCACTTAGGCATCCTCCCCAATAAGACTTACAAGCTCATAGGCCAGTGATTCCCAAACTTTTTTTGACTCATGCCTCCCTTAAGTTACTGGCCACGGTCGCAGCTTCCCAGATACAACACTTTATTTATTTTTATTTTATTTATTTATTTAACTTATATGCCGCCCACACCACCCAAAGGTCTCTAGGCGGCTTACAACATTTAAAATACAATAAAAAAGGCAAAATAAAAGGGCAAAACTTGTGGGGGGAGGAAGGGTGGGCCGAAGCCAGGCCTGAGTAGTACTTCCATGGAAGGAAGACAAGGTTTGGAACTGAAGGAGGAAGAAAAGAGAAACATACCTAGAGGAAGGAGAAAAAGGGAAAGGAAGGGAGGTGGGGGGAGGGATACAGACAAGCATCAAGGGAAACTGAGGCCAGAGTGAAGCCAGGGCCAGGGGTCCTGGGAAGGTACTTTCATGCCAGCTGGATCTCTCTCCCCCCTCCCCGGTCGTGCATGCTCCTGGGGTGGCCCTCCTCTTGCCATGGCTGCCGGCTGGCAAGCTTCTCCAATGCCCTGTGGGTTTGGGGGGTGGTGGCCCTGGCCGCGAAGAGTGGGGTCCGCAGCCTGGGGGTACACCTGGACCCGATGCTCACCATGGAAACGCAGGTGGCGTAGGTAGTTCGCACCGCCTTTTCCCACCTTTGGCGGATTGCCCGGCTGCGACCTTACCTAGACACGGGGGCGCTCACTACCTTAGTACATGCGCTTGTAATTTCTAGATTAGACTACTGTAACACGCTCTACGTGGGGCTTCCTTTGAAGCTGATGCGGAAACTTCAAGTGGTGCAGAATGCGGCGGCCAGACTCCTTACTGGAGTGAGAAAATACCAACATCTCTCATCTCTGCATTTTGCCAGAGGTGAATCATGCCCTGAACAAAGGCCTCTTCAAGTATTTCAGCACGGGGGGCCACCCCCTGCCTCCACACCAAGTTCTTATTCTCTCCTCACAGGGAGGACAAAAGAAGAGGGTCTCCTCTATGTCTGCCCTTGAGGCTGGATAGGCTCAATAGTTTAGTGCTCAGTATGGTTTCTGCAGCTGCAAAATGATAATCATCCTCTTAGAATTGTAGAGCTGGAAGGGAACCACTCCCTGTCAAAGAGGCCAAAAGCCATCCACCAAGTTCCTGGTAGAAGTAAAAACTGGAGACTTCATAGCCTGTCAGATCAGTGGCTGCTCTCCTTCCATCTTCTTCTTCTTCTTCACAAGCCAAGCCAAGTTCTTCATTCTTCAGCAGACACTGTCCTTGAGTCCCCCTCATCACCCTCTCAGGTGAGGAGTGAGAACCTTCTCCAGCATGTCCCCTGGGGTGTAGAGTTCTCTACCGAGAGACACTCACCTGGTATATAACTGAGTACACTCCCCGGCTAATATTTATTTGGACACTTGAAGAATTTTATGTTATTATCACTCTGTGCCACCAAGACGCTTCTGACTTACGGCAACCCTAACAGGGTTTTTGAGTTTTGTGAGATGGTTCAAAGAGTGGTTTACCGCTGCCACTTCTTAGTGGGTTTCCATGAATTTGAACCCAAGTCAAATGACTATCCATTACACCACAGTGGCTCTCAACAAGTTTTATAGCTGTTTTTTTTTAATACTGCTTCATAATATGCTGTTGGATTTTAGCATCCCCTCATACACATGCACAGCTTCTGTGATTTATTATGTCATTGATTTTTATGTTCTTATTTTAATATTTTTATTCTAAATATTTTAGAATGGCAGACTGCCTTCAGAGACTTCTTACTGAGGGCAGCTTATAAATCAGGGGCGCACAATCCACATTCCCTGGGGCACATCTTGCCCTCAGCTTCTCTAAGTGAACAACCGGTGGCCCATTCATTGACCTGTTGGCCAGCAGCAAGTGACTGACCCTCTCTGTGTGTGGATATTTCCACCTTTCTCGTTTCCTTTGATAGAAAAGCAATAATTCCCTTACAAACGCATTTCAAAGGAGGAGAAATTTTGGGCAAATTCTCCCATGAGGTATTCATGGATGAAGTTCAGGATTCTTATCGTTGCGTTTGCTCATGAGGCAGCTGCAGAGGGTATGCGTACGGCTTGGCTTTCAAGGTGCGATGTATACCTCTGTGTCAGCACCAAATGCGTATTATTTGATAAGCCTGAGGGAGGTGCTGAAGAACGGCAAAGGCTGAGACAATTCTTTTTAGAAAATATTTTACCTGAGATTTTTATTTTTCTGATTTCTTTAGAAACACAGGGCTCTCCTGCAGAATTATTTCCAAAGCTCTGTCAGGTATGGTGCTGAAAAAGTGGATATCCCCACTTTTCGCCCTATCCGTTCCTGTCAGAACACCCCCAAACAGTATCAGGTGGAGGACACGGTGAAGGAAGCAAAACAGGGGGTGAGGATGCCAACCCCAGGCCCTGTCGCTACCAAGACTACAGCAGTGGGCGGAACAAAACGGTGTGACCAACCACTGAAGATGGTGAGCTCCACCTCAGAGACACTGCTGGAGAATTTATCTGTCCTTGGAGGAAACTGGTTAAATCCCAACCCTACCTTCTCTGCCCGGAAATAGAGTGTAAACATTTGGAAGCTAATTTCTGCAGAGCTATAGATCAGACCATATCCATTGAGGTATAATGGAGGCAGGGCGATGAACTAGGACTCAAGCCATGTGGATCCAGATCCTTGTTCAGCAATGGAAACTCCCTGGGAAGGGGCCATGGTAAAACCTCTCCTTGAATCCTCTCATTGACCTTGGAAATCCTCTATCAGGGCCACCCTAAGTCAGATGTGACTTGACAACACACAGCAACAACTCAGATTAAACTGTATCTGCCCCCCCAGGGTCTACAGGAT